CATGGAGTTCATTGGTTGACCTTAGGCCTAGGTCTCTCTTCCAAAGCTGTCCTGAGCTCTGTGGAGGGAGGGCGTGATACAGACAAAATGGAGTTATAAAGTAGATTCACCAGGTATGGCAATTGGCTCCTTTCCTGTCTCGCCCTGACCTAGCCACAGTACTCCATGCAATGCTCACCTCCAAATTAGACTGCTGTAACTTGCTGTACACCGGCCTACCTTTGAGGCTGACCCAGAAGCTCCGGCTGATCTAGAATGTGGCGGAGCATGTCCTGATGGGAACATCACAGACAGCACATATTCAACTGGCTTCTAGTAGAATGCCAAGTCAAGTTCAAGGTCTTGGTATCAACCTTCAGGGCCTTGAGTGTTCTGGGACCAACATATCTACGGGGCTGTCTCCTCCACTATGTCCCTGGAAGAGCATTGCACTCTGCAGATAACAACTTATTGGTGATCTCTATCCCCAAAGAAGTCCAGCTGTCCCTGACCAGGGCCAGGTCCTTTTCGGTCCTGGCCCCAACCTGGTGGAACTCTCTGCCTACTACAGTCCTCTGCGGGACCTCATGCAATTCTGCAGGGCCTGTAAGGCAGAGATGTTCCGCCAGGCTTTTGCTTAGGGACAGCGACGGTTTTCCAATGTGGCTGGCACCCATCCCCCCCCAACCTGATGCCATCTTAAATTTCAATTTGTTTTTAAATTGGTTTAATGTAATCAATTTTATATTTGATGTTTTTATATTGTATCTAAGGCTTAATGCCATACTGTAAATCGCCCAGATTCTGGCGCCAGTTGGGATGGGGCGATCAATACGTCTAATAAATAGCAACAACAACATATAATATCTACACACCGGGTTTTTTCAGTCACTTTCCGAATAATCTGAAACACAAAACGTTCCTCTTTTCCTCCCCTGAGTGCTGCACACTCAGTGGATGTTTTTATGGAAAATCTGTGATTACCCAAGATGCCTTTCCTGGTTCAGTCTCCAACAAGGTATATGTGAAATTAAGGATTTTTGGGGGGGAGGGCCCTTGGTGGTCATCACTTTCCATTTGGCAGTGGAAAGTGCCGTCAAGTCCCAGCTCACGTATGGCGACCCTGTAGGGTTTTCAAGGCAAGAAACATTCAGAGGTGGTTTGCCATTACTTACCTCCACATCATGAGCCTGGTATTTCTTGGAGGTCTCCCATCCAAATACTAGCCAGGGCTGACCCCACTTAGCTTCCAAGATCTGACGAGATCAGGCCAGCCTGGGCTACCCAGGTGAGGACCACTTGCTATTTACTTACACTGGATTTCATTGGCCATTTTGTTGATGAGTTTGGACCAGGTTTCTTTGAAGTTCTTTATAGTCTGCCTGAGTTTTCACCCTCCTGAATAATTTGGTGCCTTCTACAAACTTGGCTACATGATTCCTCACCCCAGACAATTTACGAATAGGTTTCAAAAGCATCAGTACCAACGCAGATCCTTGGGGGAATCTCACAGATCACTTCCCTCTGTTGTGAGAATTATCCATTTACTCCTACCATCTGCTTCCTATTCTTCAACCATTTATCAATACATGCAAGAGCCCATCCTCTTGTCCCATGATTGTGAAGTTTTCTCAGGAGCTTTTGGTGAACAACTATATCAGAAGCTTCTTAGAAGTTCGAACACATAGTCTTGTATTCACATATTCGTTGATCCTCTCTCAAAGATCTCCAAAAGAAGGTGGCAAAACAGGACTACCCTTTGCAGAAGCCTTGCAGATCCTTCCTCAGCAAGGCTTGTTCTATCTCAAGGCAAGAGATAAGCAAAAATTGCGGTTGTGTACCGAGACAATCCACATTTTGCTCCAGTAAATGGTGAATTCAATGGAATAACTATTTTTCATATTTCTGGTTTTGGATCTCTGGCAAAAAAAAATTTTGTTTTGAATATTCATACTTTTTCTGGCCCTATTCCTGGGCGTCCATGTTGTCTCACACAACAGCATAGGGTACAGCAAGTACCCTGTGTACCATTCTAGCCCACATCTCCTATATGAGCAGAAAGACGACTCGCACCCTTAGTTTTGGCAATAGCATAAAAGCTAGTCATTCTAGGGGCCATTTTGCAGCCAACAATGGATAGGGCAGTATGTACACTCCCAACTGTGCAGGAGTGAAAACAAAAAAGAACAGAAGGCAGTACTGAATGTGGAATCTGGCTTTCCAAGAACTTCAGCTTGGAGACTCACTGCCAGTCTGAGTAGACAGTATTAACTTTGATGGACCAATGGCCCTAGAATGACTAGCCTTCATGCTATTGCCCAAATTAAGGGTGTGAGCTGTCTTTCTGCTCATATAGGAGACGAGGCAGAAGTGGGCTAGAATGGTACACAGGGTAGAATGGTACCCTATGCCGTTGTGTGAGACAACATGGACTCCCTGGAATAGGGCCAGAAAAAGTGTGAATATTCCAAAATCTTTTTTTTGCCAGAGATAAATCTGAATGTTTCTTTCTTCAAAGCTGCTGGATGAGGCTGCAGTTCTCAGGAAGTTCCTTGCAATACAAAGCCCACATTCCGTTTCTAGTGTTCAAGGCAAAATGTGATGGCAGAACTAAAATTTCAGTTTGCTGTCAGATTCCAACATGGTGGAGAATTCCTTGATGGACTGGTGTGTGTGGGGAGTTCATAAGAACCCCTTGCTTTCTGACTGAGCAGGTTCCCCAAAATCTGTAGTGCCTGACCTACCTCTCTATTTTTTCATTAGGACCGATTTCACACAAGAGCTGCGCCGCCATCGCGCCTCCTTTTGCCCCGCTTCGATTGGTCAATTTCCCACTCGAAGCCGTGTGGCTGCATTTTGACCTGCAGGTCAAAATGCAGCCGCGCATGACTTCGAGTGGGAAATTGACCAATAGAAGCGGGGCAAAGGGAGGCGCGACAGCAGGTGCAGCTCTTGTGTGAAATCGACCTTAGTTTAAGGCAGGGCTCCCCAGTGGAACCCACTGACACCTTTCCTCATGCTGGCCAAGTGTTTTTTGGAAAGTGGGTGAGGTCACGTGGGGCTTTTGCCCAGCAGGGCTTCTGATTGACCACTGGAGATCTGACTGTCAAAACTGAAGATCAGCTGTACGTGTGCAAGAAAATATTTTTAAGCAATATGTTTGTTTTAAAAGGCATCTGGTTAAGCAGATCTTCTGCCTGAAATGCTGAAGTATTACTATCAGAATTATGTATAACCTCACTTCCTGTCATTTTGTGGTTGGCTCTGCCTCCTTCAGCAGCCATTTTGTGGTTGCACCCTCCACCCCATTTCAGAATTCCAAAGGTGCCCGCAGGCTCAAAAAGATTTGTGGATCCCTGGGTTAGGGGTTTTTTTTGGTTTTTGTTTTTGCTTTTTTGTAAAGGGGGGGGTTGTTTTTGAGGCCACTGAATATCATCAGTGCAGAGTGTTTCCTGCCTTGTGTGCTGTGATGCTCAGGAGAAAGGTGGGCATATAAATATTTTAAGTAAATGAAGTCATGACAGCTGGTTCTTTGCTGACACTGAAAGGGAATAACAAATCCTTTTTTCCTGGGTAGCATTTGCCTCAAATGTGCAATGGTGCATGCATTACTCAGGACTGTGGTTCACTCCTAAAATGGCAACATGGGTCCTCATGTGACTGTGAACTTTGTGCACCTTTAATTTTACTCCAGAAAGCAAAGAAAGGGGTGAATCTTCGCAACCCCTTGTTATATTTGCATATTGTGATGTATTGTACCCCAAGGATTACAGTAAATACAGGAATACAAAATGGTGTGGATTTCATTGCTAAGAACACTTATCTCTGGCTTGCACATTCAGAATATATAGGGCTCTTCCATTCTGTATTCGTTGTTAAGTGTCTTTAAATGAAAGGAGAGCGGGAAGAAGCCAGTTACTTGAGGTCTCTTGTGTTGGCAAATTCAGTGATTTGTTTTTAGAGGCATATACCTGTGCCAGTCAATTTAGGCCTACAGTTCCAGGTCATTCAATTAAGTCCCACTCATTTTTGAAGTCATCTGATTAAATAAATTTCCATAGCCATTAGTATAACATCATCATTTATTTTTTTCCCTCTTCCTTAAAGGGACCGGCTCTTTTTAGAAAGAACAACCAAATACCCATATACTTTTTTCTCCATCCTTTTTTGGGGGGTTGGGCAATGCATTTGAAACCTTTTCAGAATTGGTATGGTGCGTTTTCTGAACTGGTTCTGCATAATAAAAGTCAGAAGAGTTGTGGAAGTTAATTCTTTGTTACAGCAGTGGAACTGTAGGGGTCTTGTAACATTCCCTATCCCTCCCCCCTTCCCTCCCGAATGACCCGTAGAGTAGGGAATTCAATTGTTAATTGTCTGATCCCTATAGAGCAATAGTTTCAGTGGAGTCATAGCGTGAACAGAATGCAACCTCTTTCTCCCCCAGGCACCTTGGGTCGGCAAGAAACAGAGGCACTTAGCCGGCCAGGGCACAATGGAGGCCAGTGTTGGGGTCATCTCTAAATAAGTGGCAATATTGTCTGCCCTGCTGGCTGCCAAAGCACGTTCCTTAAGGAGAGAAATAACTTACATTTCTGGTGTAAATAACATGGACGAGTAAGAAAGGCAACTCTTGTTTCTTGTCTCAACAAAATCCCGCGTGCATGCACCCTTCCTATCCCAAACATTTTTTATCCGAGCCGTTGTGACATTCGAGGCTGTTTGTGTGCGTCATTGTGTGGCTCTTAGGATGCTAGACTTCAGGTGTCACATCAGCGAGACAGCTCTGCTAATTGCCACTCTGATGGAAAATAAAATGGGGACAGTAATAATTAATAATTAATACTTTTGCAAGCCTGTAGCAATTTTCTGCATGAGGGATTTGAGTGCTTTAAAAACAATTATGAATTATGCCTCTCTGTCTGGCTACTGTTAGTGAGGCAGCTGACAATGTAGTATATTGATGTCCCATTTTTGTTTGGTTTTTTTAACTTTGAGGGGATCCCCCTTGTCTTTTGTTGCAGGTTCGGAAGATTGTTCTCGAAACTTCACCAGCTCGAACGGTACCATCGAATCCCCGGGATTTCCCGATAAGTATCCTCATAATTTGGACTGCACTTTCACCATCATGGCTAAGCCAAAGATGGAGATCATCCTTCAATTTCTAACCTTCGACCTCGAAAATGACCCTTTGCAAGTCGGGGAGGGAGACTGCAAGTATGATTGGCTGGACATCTGGGACGGTATCCCTCAAGGTAAGGATGAAAGCGGTATATCTTTTCTTTTTTTAAAAAAATCTTGAACATGGTCCACATAATAATGTTGATGAGGGCCAATCAAATGACATATAAGAGTATGTGCAAACTTTTGAGTTCTCTGAAACTCTTCTTCAGGTTGGACGTTACCTAAATAAATAAATAAAGTGTGTTTAACAAGACAAAGGAAAGTTCCTCAGAACATGATGGAGAGTCCTGGGCAGGCTACTTCAAAGGGTACTGGCTTCTCTCAGAGCTCTCTCAGTCCCAGGGCTATTTTTGGGCAGGAACGCACAGGAACGGAGTTCCGGCTGGCTCCCGAGTTGGCCACGCCCAGCAGGAACTCATTAGCATAATAGGCCACACCCAACAGCAGGAACTCATTAGGATTGGCTACATTAGGGGTGTGTGGCCTAACATGCAAAGGAGTTCCTGCTACAAAAATGCCCTGGGTTTTGACAACAAACAAGGTAAACAGAATAAGAAGCAAAAGGTGGGTGTGGCTGGATAACCACACTTCTGGTAACATGGGGGTGCGGCCTAATGTGCTAATGAGCTGTGCTGTCAGGGGTGTGGCCCAATATGCTAATGAGTGTCTGCTGTTGGGTGTGGCCTATTATGCTAATGAGTTCCTGCTGGGCTTTTTCTACAAAAAGAGCCCTGCTCAGCCCCACCTACCTCACAGGGTGTCTGTTGTGGGAAGGGGAAGGAAAAGGAGTTTGTAAGCCCCTCTGAGATTATAAACCAGATCATGGACGTGAAAATCGGAACCTTTTGAGTCGCTGGACTGTTCTGATCGTTCCTAGATTTCTTAAATTTAAATGTATTTGATACAGGGAGACCTAGCAGATGGTTTTATACATCTTATTGACCCCAGTTTTTTGAAGAAGCAGCTGGGAAGCATTATCAGTCCATCAGTAAGGCAACCCTAATTCCTTATGGCCCCTTATGCCAATGAGAGGAGAAATGTGTTAGAAACAGGAATGGCCCTGGAATTGTCAGTGGCGGTTGCCTGCTGCGTGCTGCAGCGGATAAGAACAACCTGCTGGGGACCAGACAGGGAAGCTTTACAAAAGTTGGCTCTCTAGTCCTTTGCAGCCGGTGGGTGGACAGGCTGGTCAAATTCTTTGTAGTCTGGCAAGATTTGGTGGACGTATTTTTAAGGCTGCTCACCGGCATCTTCAAGCAGCGGCTGGATGAACACTTGCCAGGGATGCTTTAGGTTGTTTCAGGGGGTTTGACTAGATGGCCTCTGTGGCCCCTTCCAACCAGTGTTCCCTCTAAGCTGAGTCAGTGTGAGCCAGCTCACAGTTTTTTTAGCCTCCGGCTCGCACATTTTTGTCTTCGCTCAGGAAGGGATGGCTCCAGAGCAAACTAATTTCTGCAGTGGCCAAATCGCTCGCTCACAGCTTTAACACCAGTAGCTCACAAAGTAGAATTTTTTGCTCACAAGAGTTCCACAGCTTAGAGGGAGCATGGCTTCCAACTCAATGATACTAAGCATAAATGTTTGTTTAGACAGATGTGCATTACCATACTTGCCAAAAATAGCTCTTAAAAATAAGTGATAGTTTCAGTAAACATGGTGTCTAGTCTTCCTTTCTCCCATCATGTTTTACCTGGTTAGGTATATGATTTGCTTTTTCCTTTCAATGGGCGTTGAGGATTAGTCTGTCAAAATGAACCATAAAGGAGTGTCTTCCTGTTGTTTCTGTTGCAGTTGGCCCCTTAATTGGCAGGTACTGTGGCACCAAAACCCCGTCAGAGATCCGCTCAACGACCGGCATCCTGTCGCTCACATTCCACACGGATTTGGCAGTGGCTAAAGGTGGCTTTTCGGCTCGCTATTACTTGGTTCAGCAGGAGGTGCCAGAAAGTAAGTTGGCAGGTTGTGCGGTCTGCATTTCCAAATCCACATTTCCAAGTCTACATATAAACTAAGCTTGTTAGTCCTGTTTGGTCCTTGAATCTGTTAAACATCTTCATTATATTGTATGCTAATTTGCTGCTCACTCTCTCCCTATATGCATGGACTGGTAACTTCCATTTCATTGTATCTGAAGAAGTATGCGTGCACACGAAAGCTTATACCGTGAATAAAACTTGGTTGGTCTTAAAGGTGCCACTGGACTAAAACTTTGTTCTGCTGCTTCAGACCAGCACGGCTGCCCACGTGTATCATTCTTCGGTGGAGACATTGAATGTATCAGAGAGACGTGTTCGAGATACTTTTCTCCCTGAATACCCCAGTCTCTTAATGCAAGTACACAAATCAAGAAGACGCAACCGAGTATTTTTGAGGGCACTGCAGAAATGTAGAAAATTAAAAGTTTGAAATCTTATAGCGTGTTCAGCATGTTTTTTCAGCGTTCAAGTTCCAGGATCATAGAACAGAAATTAGTTTGAGGGGTATAGTCTATGGGTGGGCACTTAAATCTATGTTAAGAATATAGGAAGAGCCCTCCTGGATCAGACCAGTGGTCTGTCCAACCCAACCTGTTTCACACAGTGGCCAATCAGTGCCCCAGGTCTTCCCCTAACCATAGAATCATAGAGTTGGAAGGGACTTCCTGGGTCATCTAGTCCAACCACCTGCACAATGCAGGATATTCACAAATACCTCCCTCTCACACACACCCAGTGACCCCTGCTCCATGCCTAGAAGATGGCAAAAAAACCTCCAGGACCCCTGGCCAAACTGGCCTGGAGAAAAATTGCTTCCTGGCCCCAACATGGTGATCGGCATTTCCCTGGGCGTGTAAGAAAGGGACACAAGAACTAAGCACTGAGGCAACCCTCCCTGCCCTCCCTCTCATGATCTGCCTATGTTCACAGAATCAGCATTGCTGTCAGGTGGCTATCTAGCCTTCTGATGTTGAGCATTTACAAACTTGAAGAGTTGGAATATCACCACCATATCGTTCCTCTTTGGGATGGAAGTATATTAATATCTTCCTTTTATTTGTGATGTTTCACAAGCATAGTAAACAAAGTCAGGATGGAGCTTCCTGTCGTCCTGGAGTAGGCCTTCTGCAGTCACTCTTACAAGATGTGGGAATGGCCACTAGCCCAGATAGCTTTAAAAAAGGAATTAGCTAGGACAGTTAGATAACCCTCCAAACAGTGAAGCAGTATACTAATGAGTATGCACAGACAGTGTGAAAGTTAGTTATGCACACTACCTATATTTGCAAAATCAAGTTTTTCAGCAAGATTCTTTGATTTTAGTGCCAATTTCCTAGCCCCTTGCTAGAGTCACTATAATTCTGTTGTGACTTGACAGCACTTACGTATGTACGTTCCTGGTTCTTTGCAGGTCACCTGCGAGAGATTTCTGCAGCTTTAGAATCATCACCAATTTAGGGGTTTCATTGTGAGCTGTTTCAAACGTCATTTCTGGACATCAGCTTTTTATTGGGAGTCTTCAAAGAGAGAAATCTGCGTTCATTTCTGCAGCCACAAAGGCTTCTTTTAATAGGATGCCGGGAGTCAGTTAGTTGCAGTGGTTTTGGTCGGGAGTGGAATTCATACAGGGAGTGGTCCTGCAGAGAGATCTCTTTGCATTTTTGCTCTTTCTGCTTTCCCCAGACTTCCAGTGCAACATTCCCTTAGGGATGGAGTCTGGCCGAATCTCCAGCGAACAGATCACCGCCTCCAGTACTTACTCTGACGGCAGGTGGACCCCGCAGCAGAGCCGGCTGAATAGCGATGACAACGGGTGGACCCCCAATATCGATAACAACAAGGAGTACTTACAGGTATGATCTGCTCCAGTGGCCAGAAAGGAAGGGACGGTAACTCTCAGTTGACTAAGCAAGGAGACCGACATAATTTAGGAAGGGTGGGAAGCCATCCTATCAGGCTTAGCAACAGTTGCGTTGCCAGACAGCTGGCGCGATCTGATGTTTAAGTCTGTTTTGTCGAAAACATGGCCCGCTAGAGCCCCCAGCTAGCATTTTGTTCTGTGAAAAGATTGGCTTGGCATGGGCAGGCGTGCTGCGCATCCATGGAAGCAGTCTTGGCAGAGCGATGGTAGGGGAGAGAATGGCTTCTTTGTTTACCTTGGCAGGGGACCACCACCACTACCCTCCAGACCTTCGGGTTCCCCTCCCTCCCTCTCTCCCCCCCCTTCTCGAACCAAACAGATTATCATGCTGTTAAATTGACCCCAGAATACGAGTGCTTTGCTGTTCTTGTGGCCTGCTGGGAGCCGGCAGGGGGACCCTTGAACTGCTGTTTGGCAGAGGGAGAGCCTGACTCTGCCTCCTCCGTGAGCGGCCGAAGGCAGCACCGGCCAGACCATTAACATTCCAACAGAAGTCTCTGCTTGACCTCGGTGCCCCCATCCCCCAGACCCTGATGGGCTTTCCAGAGGGCGAAGAGGGAGAGAAGCGCTACTACTTACAAGCCCCGCAGTTGACTCTGCGGTGATCGAAGTGAACCGGACTTTCTTGCATGCGCTGGGCAGAGTACAGCTAGAATAATATTTATTCTGCTGGGGGAATTGTAACACGTACCAGCAGCTGGGAGCTCCGGCGGGAGTGCTAGAAGGAAAAAAGGCTTTAGCAGGGCCTGCTCAGAGCCAATTTGTGGTGGCCAAAGAGACGTGGGCTGAGTGGAGCTCTGTGGGGTGGCAAGTGCTAAAGGGCATTCGGCCCTGGAAGTACTAAAAGGTCATCGGCTGCAGCAGATGTCCATTTCTTCATGGGAGAGTTAAAGGCCATGACCTTTTATAATCTACATTACTAAGAGATCTCTGGAAAGCATGAACTGGACTTCATGACTTCATTGTGCTTACCAAATAAGGCATGCGTACAACCCCCCCAAACATATGTTGGCTTCGGTACCACTGCAAGCAGCACAGAATCCCCTTTTTGGTCAATACTCCATTGTTTGATTGTGCATATTGGGCTATTTGACTTCACTGTTGGGGGTAGAGTTTTGAAGTCCTTTAAGAGAAGAAGAGGAGGAGATTGGATTTATACCCCCACCCTTCACTCAGAGTCTCAGAGCGGCTTACGATCTCCTTTCCCTTCCCCTCCCCACAGCAGACATCCGGTGAAGTAGGTGGGGCTGAGAGAGCTCTTTCGAGGACTGCTCCTGAGAGAACAGCTCTGAGAGGACTTGCGACTGACCCAAGGTCACACCAACAGCTGCATGTGGAGGAGTGGGGAATCAAACCCAGTTCTCCTAGATTAGAGTCCGCTCTCCTAACCACTACATCAATCTGACTACACCGAATCACTTAATCGCTACATCAAACACACTACACCAAACTGGTTATTCAACTTAGGGTTTCTCTCTCTGTCTCTCTGTCTCTCTCTCTGTCTCTCTCTCTCTCTCTCTCTCGTATAGTTGTTTGCAAGGGAGGCTGGGCCGAAACCACATTTCCCCCCACTTGCCTTACCATAATACACTGCTAATTCTGTTGGCGTTTACTCACAGTCAACTTAGTGAAACGTCAGGGGTTCAACTCTATATGACTAATGATGCACCAGTAAAGGGATACACGGCCTTGTTTATGCTCCAGTTACTTCCATGCCGGTGCATAATATGTATTATTATTATTGTTATTGTTGTTGTTGTTGTTTGCAAGGGAGGCTGGGCCTCAAGTCGTGTCGAGCATTTTGCAAGAAAAGCCTCGTGGAGATCTTATCCCAGAGGGGTTTACAGCACGGTCCAGTGAGGCAAAGCGAGGGAGGGAAATGAGTAATCCCAAAGCACGCTGCCCTCCCTCAGTTTACGAAAACTGTAACAAAACCAGGCAGCTTCGAAAACATTTCCTTCTATGGCTCACACTGCAGCCACATCCAGGAATGTTAACTCGGCTGGTCTGGAAATTGATCCTATTAAGTTCTTATACTGGAACGGAGCTGAGACGGAACAGGCAACTCTGAGCGTGGCCAGTGGCAAAAGCTACAGCTGTGACACGCCGATCTGCCGCAAATGAAACACTGTTGTGCTAATTCATACCAGCTGAGCACCCCAATCCTCAGCTCTGCCTTCAGACAGCCCCTTTCTGGAGCAACTCAATGAACCAGTCCCAGAGAATGCCTTTAGCATAGCACACAATGGTTTTGCTATTATGCGCCACAGTGAGGATCGGAGACCCACCACGGGTCAGCCGGAGGGAAAGTAGAGCGATGCAGTTGTCGCAAGCTCTGCTCTGGTTGGCTTCCTGGTGCTCAGCATCTTTGGTCTGCACCCTGGTTGGGTTTGGAAGATGCTTTGAGCAAAAACGTCTAGGAAAGTACACTCAGTGTATAAAGTAAAGGGGATAACCTTCTTTTAAAAAACCCCTGTAATTCCACTTCCCATTCCCTGGTGTTTTTTTTGCTCCCCTCCCAGGTGGATCTTCGCTTCCTGACTGTGCTGACAGCCATCGCCACCCAGGGCGCCATCTCTCGAGAGACACAAAATGGCTACTACGTGCGGTCGTACAAGCTGGAGGTCAGCACGAACGGGGAGGATTGGATGATGTATCGGCATGGCAAGAACCATAAAGTAAGTGCGGGTTTCTCCCCGCCTCTCCTCCTCCCTCCCCCACCCATGCCAAATTCCAGCCTCCAAAAGATTGGAGTGGTGATGGAATGGAAGGCTTTAAATCAACTGGAGCCCCATCATAAAGCAGATTTGGGGAGCTTTCTTTGGTGGTTGTCGATGCGGTTTGCTGCCAAGAGGCAAAACTCAAAGACCGATTTCCCACAAGCAGCTGAGCCGCCCTCGCTCTTCCCTTTCCCCAGTCTGTATGTGTCAATTTCCCACTATTTGCTGCGTGGCTGCATTTTGATCCGCAGCTTCGCCCGATTTCGCCCGCGTTTTCTCGATCCTGCTTTTTGAGGATCCAGAAGATGCGGACGAAATCGGGTAAAGCCACGGGTCAAAATGCGGCCACGCAGCAAGTAGTGGGAAATTGATGCATACAATCGGGGGAAAGGGGAGGGTGGCGCAGCTGCTTGTGGGAAATCGGTCTTTGAGTTTTGCCTCTTGGCGGCAAACCGCGTCAACAACCACCAGAGAAAGCTCCCCAAATCTGCTTTATGATGGGTTAGTGGGAACTTGATGCATACAATCGGGGGAAAGGGGAGGGTGGCGCAGCTGCTTGTGGGAAATTGGTCAACGTTTTTTCTCCCCAAAAGAACAAACTTAGAGTCCAGTGTGGCACCTTTAAGACCAACAAAGTTTTATTCAAGGTATGAGCTTTCGTGTGCAAGGCACACTTGAAATATTTGCCGTGCACACGAAAGCTCATACCTTGGTCTTAAGGCTGTTACTGGACTCTAACACGGCTGACCACCTGGATCTATTTTCTCCCCGAGTCATCTTTCTTTTGAGAGATGAGGAAGCCAGTGTTCCTGGTAAAACCCAGCCTCTGTTGTGCCTTCCTCTCAGCGGAGTGTCTGCGATATGTTCCTCGACTGCAAATGAAGGAGAAAATGCTTTTGCAGCCCTATGGGGCGTGTGTGTTTGCCCCCCCCCACCCCATACAAGATTCATTGAGCATTTATAGCCTGAGCCCCATCCCCATGCTGGGTTAACAATCACAAAACCACACGAAGCTGCAGTTCAGGAGTTATTGAGGCTCGGAAAATGAAAGGGCACAAATCCTGAGCGGAGATCACAACGTCCTAGAGAATAAAGCCCGGCGATAAATAACGAGGCGCAATTTGGTTTGTCACGGATGGGGGGGGACCCGTAGCCGCAGTGGCGGTTGGCGGTGATGCATCGAGCGCTCCGTGCCTGCGTCTTCTTTGTCTATAAATACAGCTGTGTTGACCCTTGCCGACCCCTGAACCTCAAAATACGTAGTGTGTGCTCAGCAAAGGGGGGGGGAGGGGGGCACTTGTTCCGTGCTCCGGGCAGGTGTGCGAGAGACCGCACTTGGCCGTATGGAGTGCAGCTGCGTATAATAAAGTTGTAACCACTCTTGGGAAAGGGAGGCAGCTGTCAGTCAACGCCACTTTTCTTGGGAAGGCCCTTCTGAATTGACCCCATGTGCCCTGCCTGCAGAACACTGTGGAAAAAGGAATTCTCAAACTGCCTCACGTCCAGGCGGGTGGGGAGGAGGAGGAGAACGTGCGGGAGCGAACACGGAATCTCTAAGGCAGCAGCTGTCGGCCAGGCGGGGTGATGTCTTCATCTCTCTTGCTACACCTCCCCGAAGAAGACTTTGACAGTCATACAAGAGGCTCAGCTTCCCCTTTCATTCCACTCAGTCCTTGAAATCTTCAGGGAGAGAGGAGTGGCGAATAGTCCCGTCGCAACCAAGCATTTTCAGGCTGCCCTCTCACCCCAGTTAGGGTTGACAGCCGGGGGGGGTGGGGGGCTCATGGAATTACAACTGATCTCCAGACCACAGCGATCAGTTCCCCTTGGAGGAAATAGCAACTTCAGAGGGTGGAATTTATGGCATTCACGCCCACTGAGGTCCCTCCTCATTCCAGAAGAAGGAGAAGGAGAAGGAGAAGAAGAAGAAGAAGAAGAAGAAGAAGAAGAAGAAGAAGAAGAAGAAGAAGAAGAAGAAGAAGAGGAGGAGGAGGAGGAGGAGGAGGAGGAGGAGGAGATTGGATTTATACCCCGCCCTTCACTACCCGAAGGAGTCTCAAAGCGGCTTACAGCCTCTTTTCCCTTCCCCTCCCCACAACAGACACCCTGTGAGGCAGCTGGGGCTGAGAGAGCTCTCCCGAGGACTTCCCTTGAGAGAACAGCCCTGAAAGAACTTGTGACTGACCCAAGGTCACGCCAGCAGCTGCCTGTGGAGGAGTGGGGAATCAAAGCCGGTTCTTCCAGATTAGAGTCCGCGCTCCCAACCACTACACAAAACTGGCTCTCAAGCCTGCCTTCCCTGTGCTCTACTCCCAAATCTCCATCAGTGTCTTAATCTAGACTTGGAAATCTTACACCCAGTTTGTACCTAGAGGTGGGACTTGGGAGCATGATTGGGAAGCGTTCTGTTCACCGTTGCGGGGGGAGGAGTTGAACACATGAAGCTGACTTACACTGAGTCAGACCTTCAGTCCATCAAAGGTCAGTCTGGTCTTCTCAGACCTGCAGCAGCTCTCCAGGGTCTCAGGCAGAGCTCTTTCACATCACTGACTGCCAGGTCCCTTTAAACTGGAGATGCCGGGGATTGAACCTGGGACCTTTTGCGTGCCAAGCAGATGCTCTGCCACTGAGCTATGGCCACCCTCCGCCTATATAATTGTATATTGTTTCTCTTTGGCCCCAACCCTGGGAGTAAGAGGTTAAAATATCAAAAGCTCTCTTCCCGCCCCTGGGCTTTCGGACAAATGGCAGCACAGACAAGGAAGAGGAAACAGGGCATTTCTCAAGATGAGAGATTGGTCTTCTTAAAGAGGTCCAGCCAGCATCTGTCTGTCTGTCACATTTTTATCCCGCCCTCCCATCAAAATGTTCATTGTTCTCTGTTCCCTTGTTTTAAAGGGGAAGTTTGTCCCTGGGGTTCCAGTCCATTTTGGGTATGCATTTTCAGTTTTGTTTTGTTTTCCACATCAGATTGAGGTAGACTTGGTCTTCCTCACTCTCTTCTGGTGCCCATCTTTGATCGCGGAGAGAACCACCACCTGTTGACCCCCACCTGTCTCTGTTTTGTGTTAGTTACACATAGGAGGCCCAAGTATTTCTCAACCTAGACCTCCAAAGATTAAAAAAAGAAACTCCTCAGCAGTATTCTTGTTGTTGTTGTTGAACCGGAGCCAAGTTTCAGTTTCCAGCAGAGGGAGATGATTCATGTGAGATTATATCTGCAGTGCTCATGGATCTGGGGAATAGTTAAAATCGTGCTCAGGAAGAAAAGGGCCATAAATTACAAGGGGTTTGTCACTTGTAGGAAATTTGCCATTCGCAGCAAACCGAGAAGTGAGGTGGATCTTTGATAAGACTTTTCTTGTCACCTCTGGCTATCTCCTTGCTATCTTCTTCATACCCATTTGACAAGGTAAGTCAACGAGCCACTATCCTGGGTAAGAGTAGCCTGCAATAGCAAAAGAGTCAATTCTTTTATAACACTGATCTATCACAGTTGCACGGCTTCATTTGTTATTGGGAGAGATGATCCACAACAATAATTCCCTCCGCGTTTATTTTATTTTTCATTCATGCCCCGCCCATCTCCCCAACGGGGATGCAAAGTGGACTATTTATTCCCCCTCGAGATTTTCCCCTTCAAACAAAATCTTCTCCTCTTTTATGTGAACCTATGGGCAAAGCTAGACATTCGACCTCAGAGATGGGTATGTCATGTTTTCCTCTGACGTGCTGAAGGAAGGGTGAGGAGGTGGGTAAAGCAGGGGATGTGAGCGGAATAACAATCCTTTCCCTCATCTGTAGGGACCTGGATGGCCCGATCTCATCAGATCTTGGAAGCTAAGCAGGGTCGGCCCTGGTTAGTATTTGGATGGGAGACCGCCAAGGATGTCCAGGGTTGCTATTAATTATTTATTTATTTATTAGATTTGTCTTTTAGGCAGCCCTCTCCCCGAAAAACAGGGCTCGGGGTGGCATACAACAGTGATAAAATTACAATCTTACAAAAAAATTTCAAAATTAAAATAATACATAAAATACAATTTACAGCAGGCTAAGCCTCCACTTGCAGCTGCTGGATGACCTTGGGCAAGCCACAGTTCTCTCAGAGCTGTTCTCCCAAGAACAGTCCTCAGTCAGAGCTCTCTCAGCCCCACCTACCTCACGGGGTGGCTGTTGTGGGGAAGGGAAAGGAGATTGTAAGCCGCTCTGAGACTCCGAGTGGAGGGCGGGGTATAAATCCAATCTCTTCCTCTCTTCTTCTTCTTCTTTTTTGTGTTTGTCTTCTTCATCGTCTTTGTCTTCGTCTTCTTCAAGTTGGCTGCAACTTGACAGCACTTCCCACCGCCATCTTTATTATTACTCTTAGCCCATTCAGGTTGGCAAGGTGACACAGATGTATAAAAGAGAGTGAAAACAAACCAATAAAAAGGCTAAAAAATATCGACCTGAAAGCACAGCAGTTTAAAAAACCCCTCTTTAAAACCCTCGGTTCAAAGTCTGGGTGAAAAAGAGCATCTGGGTGAAAAAGAGTTGCCTAAGGAAAACCTGGTTGGAGCCAGGATGAGTCAGCCAGCAAAAGTGCGGTTGAGAAGAAGACACAGAGACAGACTTAAGCATCTACAAAAGAGCAAACTCATTTGTTTCCCCTTCGCAGTTGGGAGTCAGATGGTTGAGCAGTCGCAGGAAAAGAACATAGGAAGAGCCAAGCTGGATCAGACCAATGGTCAACTTAATCCAGTATCTGGTTCCCCACAGTGTCTGACCCAGCCGCCTCAGGAGGCCTACAGCAAGGGCACAGAAGCCCCTTGCACATTTCAAACGTGCCTCCAAACTAGCCTCCATGAATTTGTCTAACTCCCTTTTAAAGTCATCTATGCTAGTTCCAGCTCCTGCCAACCTAGCAGTTCGAAAGCAAGAAATTGCAGGTAGATAAATAGGTACCACTTCGGTGGGAA